TGAGTGAGGGAGCTCTTCATTATCCACCGAGTAAAGAGAAAACCTTCACAGCTTCAGGAAGTGTCCAAATAACCGGATGAAAAGTCACTTTATTGTCTCAGACTGTCACAACTACAGTGCTTCAACTCCAGATGATGTGCATTGGGTTAGAGAAACATTGACAACACTGCACCATAAATATGAAACGGTTTGTGTTTCCAGTTCAGTCCATGGTTGTGTTATCAAAAAACACAAGTGTCGTCATCCTCTCATATCGTCTACAAACTTATCAAACGGCAGATATAACATGTTGAAATGCCTTTTATTGGTAATAAGAGCTCTTCCCCCTGCACCGAGTGTGTGTTTCTCCCAGGATTTAGTGCAAGGTAAGTCAGGTTGACCTCTTCAACGCTAAGGTCTCAGTCCTCGTTACAGTCAAACAAACGCCCACCGTGGCAACACTATATCAAGTTCCTAGCTTCGTCAAACATAATAGAGGCATTTCTTGAGGGGGAGATTTAGACCTGTGCAATATTTAAAAAAAAAGAAGCCTATCCCTCATCAGAGAGTACATTTTAAAGTCCTTGTAGTCTTGCGATAGCAGCACTGTGAGCAGGTGCGTTGGTGAAAACAGTCCCCACAAAGAAAGACGTTCCTCTCAGGATGTGGCGAATAACTGTGCAGGAGCCGGACACTTCGATGTGGAAACCCAGATCTCTGAGTTCCTCCTCTGTCCGCAGTTTGGTTTGACTTGATGGAGATGCGAAGAACTGTAAGGGGAACAGAGGACGGCGTAAATATACAAGCTGGCGTTATCTTATATAGATTTAAGACTGACACGAACGTCACATTTTCTATCGATTCAAATATCTAAACGACTAATACACCTTCAAAAAATCGAATTAACAATTTCATTTTCTTTGGACCAACTGTCTGTTATTGTGTATATTGCAGCAAAGAAACAAGACATGAAATAAAGACATTAGAATAGAGTATCAAAATGTATTGCAGCATCATTTAAACAATGTTACCCCCTATATTTAGAAATGCATAAGCTATCCTGGTATTCCCTTTTTATGAGACAGCTTTAAAAAGAATAACTCACAGCTTCTCCTGTTGTCGGGTTAATAAAGTCCGCCCAGTAGCCTGCAGTCCACAGAGCGAAGCACATTTCCTTCGCTCCGCTCACAAACTGCAGTTAGAAAGAAAACACATGTGTCAACAGCTGTTTTATAACTTCATGTAACATTATCAAACTTAAAAGGGACCCCTATTATACTGTCTTTCATCAATATGTTACAGGTCTCAGATATATCCAGAACATGTCTCTGATTGGCTGAAACACATATACCATAATCCCCTCTGTTTCAGCCCTGTTTCAAAAGTGCTGAAGAGCTCGGGGGAAGCAGTGTGTGGACCTCTTTCACCTGTCAGCGCAATTGTGGTTTAAACACATTTAAATAATTGGTTTAAATGGCATAATAATAATAATGACGACCGTCCGTTCTGTGATTCTCCAGAACACACAGATGGCCAGTCCGCCCCTGCAGTAGCATATTATTTTCGATGAGAGATGACATGTTGATGAAGAAGAGACATGAAGAAGAGGGGACACATGTTGATGAAGAAGAGACATGAAGAAGAGGGGACACATGTTGATGTAGAAGAGACATGAAGAAGAGGGGACACATGTTGATGTAGAAGAGACATGGAGAAGAGGACACACATGTTGATGTAGAAGAGACATGAAGAAGAGGGGACACATGTTGATGTAGAAGAGACATGAAGAAGAGGGGACACATGTTGATGTAGAAGAGACATGAAGAAGAGGGGACACATGTTGATGTAGAAGAGACATGAAGAAGAGGGGACACATGTTGATGTAGAAGAGACATGAAGAAGAGGGGACACATGTTGATGTAGAAGAGACATGAAGAAGAGGGGACACATGTTGATGTAGAAGAGACATGAAGAAGAGGGGACACATGTTGATGTAGAAGAGACATGAAGAAGAGGGGACACATGTTGATGTAGAAGAGACATGGAGAAGAGGACACACATGTTGATGTAGAAGAGACATGAAGAAGAGGGGACACATGTTGATGTAGAAGAGACATGAAGAAGAGGGGACACATGTTGATGTAGAAGAGACATGAAGAAGAGGGGACACATGTTGATGTAGAAGAGACATGAAGAAGAGGGGACACATGGTGATGTAGAAGAGACATGAAGAAGAGGGGATTTCTAAAAGACATGAAAAGTGGATTTTGCATAATAGGTGACATTTAAAATAACCCAAAAACACATCACAGCACTCACTTTGTTGAGCTGCTGCTCTCTGTCCTGCTCTGCCGCCTCCTCACACCGACTGTTACTCTGAGTGACCGTCACAACTGTGATGGAGGCAGTGGGCGCTGAGGGGAACATCAGCTCAAGATCTGACAAAAACACACACAGTTTTGTTATTTAAGGTCATGAAAAACAAGTGCCAATAAATAATAAATGCCAGTAAATAATGCCAATGCCTTACCTTTCCTTAGCAGCTCAGGGCAGGAACTTATGGCGCAGTCTGTGTCCGTCTGATGAAAGTACTGCTCAGCTTTGTTCACTCTCGTGTCTATACCACCCAAATTTCCCTGAGAAACAAACACACATTGAGAAAAAACTACTTTGAAGAATGTATATGAGGAAAATATGGGATAAGCAATTAGTTTGTTGAACATTGGGATAACGATATTAGTTGCAGATCATAAAACAGATAGTGTTTAATGCTGAAATGCAACATAGAGCAAAAATGATAACATATCAAAATATCATTCTGGATATATTGTGCAGGTTTAGCTAAAACCCCCACATTGAAATGATTGTAAAACGTACCTGGAACTCATTTACGAACTGGGCCAGGATGAACTGGTGTCTCTCCGTGCAGCTGGGGGCCGTCAGTACGTCCGGCACCGTCCTGTGGACTGGAGTCTTTAATTTCTTTTGGTGGCCCATGCCCTCCAGGTGGCAGTCGAAGCCAGAGTTACCCGGGAGCTGAAAGCGCTGATCCTGAGGTCCAAACGGTCCCATGCTCTCATCGGGCCACACGGTCCTGGGGCCTAGAGACGGATGTGAGAAACATATTATATAGCATCTGTTTTCTGCTTAATCTTATCTTCAACTGTGTTTGTAGTCCTGTTCGAACCATAATCTCATCACTCTCATAGCTAGAACAATACTATGATTGAAGCTCCCTTCAGATCTAGATCAGGGCATTTTCTGAACTGTAGACTGTGGTCACATTTATCAGCAAATGGTGAAAGATTATTTACATTAATTATGTGACTGTAGTTATTTAATTGCTCTTTTTACTGCACTGTTTTATTATTATTGTGCTGCTGTGTTTATTGTATTTTTGGCACAACAAGTTCCTTGGGGATGAATAAAGTCTTATCTTATCTTATGATGAATCCCCTGGTTGTCTCACCTGAGTCTGTGTGTGATGAAGATATGTACGGCTCGTCGGAGCTAGCAGCAGAGAAGGTTCTGGTTCTTCCCACTCGCAGGGCAGCTAGTACTTGATGGCCAGCAGTCTTAGAAAGGAACAGCCGGCCCCGACCACACAGCACCTAAACAACAACAACAACAACTGTCAACAGCCGGAAACATTTGGAGAAATTGTACTTTGTAAAACAAGAAATTAAACATCATTTTTATCATAAGAAAATGTATAACAGGGATTTATGTTACGCTTAACTTGCATGCTAGAATGAAAGATAATGTTAACTATTATTATTAACTATTATTTATATATCTTGTTTACGTTACACTATCAAATGGACACCATGCCTGCAGCTACACACCTTTACCTGGTGGAAAGTAACAATTTACTCAGGTGCTGCAAAGAGTGCTTTTACTCCTAACACTTTACATATAATTTGAATAACAAGTTAAATAACAAGTTGAATAAAAAATGAGAAGCTAAGGAGCACATGCTACTTCATGCACTATAAAAAGACTACATTATGGGATAAATAGGTTGTTTTAAATCCTTATATATTCTGTATGTTGTGTGTATTTGATAGCCTATAGCTATAAACAGGGACAGGGGTGAGTTGTTATGTCACTTACACTGCTGGACATTGTGTGTGGTCTTCTGTTTCTCACGTTAAACCTGCTGGATAAAAACAACAACAATAAGAACAGAAAAAAGAACACCCCTTACTGTTGGTTATTAAAGAAAAACAACACACTTAGCTTGCTAGTTTGCTATCCGAAGTTATTCTAACAATGCTAACATGATGCAATGAATACATGCGTGTTACACGGGGCTAAAACACATCAAGGGTCAGGTCTATCATTGCCTAACTTGTAATAAATAAAAACAGTATTACATGTGATGATTTAAACACAAACCAAACAGCTGTTAGCTCCTCGCGTTAGCACGTTGTTTTTACAGCAAATATGGAAGGTCAGCTGATTCTTATTTTGACACCTTTCGACAGTAATCTTTACTTCCTAGATAAATATAAACTTGGATCAAACACCTGACAACGTGGACAATAAACCCGTCTATAATCTGATGGAAAAACGGACCAATAAACACGTTTTAATGGGATAACATTATGAAAAGTACATGTTGTTCTTACCTGTTAACTTGCACGTCCGCAGCTATGGCATAACAACGACGGGAAATGACGAGGGACAAAACAGTCGTATTTCGCGTACTGGTTAAATGGTATAATGTTAGTTATAATGGGGATTTATTAATTAGCTGCATGTTGTGAGACAATATTTATTGATAATACAACAGCCTTTTTTGCGCTTTTCACCAGCCCTACACTAAATATATATATAATATACATTATAGCCTGCATTTTCCCATTTTCACCACAAGATGGCAGCAAATAACAGCAGTAATTCCCCTTTGCAATGCAATGTGGCCTTAAAGTAGCCTTCATTTATCATTTAAAGTTGGTTATGTACTTGCCTGCTATATTATTGATTGTGCACCAGATTGTTTGCAACATATGATATTGAGTTATTTAGAAAAAAGGTTATTTTCACACTTTTGTTGATATTTATGGGTTTTTACAAAGGCCTATTATCTAAACCTTTCAGTTTGACTGTAAAACATTCAAAAAGAGGAAGTAAACCCAATTAATACCAAGTGTGTCAGCTGATTGCCCACAGCTGATTAAAAGTGCATTATTAGTACTATCAATCGGGTCAATTTTGACATTTTGGGCTTTGTTTGCTACCCCAACATGTCTTATACAGTGGATAGATATCCAAAGTACACATTTAGATAACTTGTTTATCTGTGTATGAAGATTTTTCCTAGATTTTTCCTTACATAACAGATTTCTATTCGTGAACTGTATGCAAATGTCCACATATTTAATAAAATAATAGCTCTTTTTTTTTTACCCTATTCACCCTCAGTGTCTCCCCTTAATTTACCTTGGCTAACCTCCACATATTGTTCTGAATCAAAGACTGTACTCAACGGTTCCCAGGTGGGAAACTGAGGAAAAAGGGGACACATGCTCAGCAAAAATCCCCCTCCCTTGATCAATAAAGTTTAAAAAGTAGAAAAGAGAAATAGTCGTGGCAGTGTTATTTGAAGTGCTGTCAGAAGTCGTGAAGGACAAGGACAGCTGTAGTAAAGAACATTCTGCTGGCGTACACACATCTCTTTAGCTGACTTAGACAAGCTGATGGACACTTTCTCTGAACAGACAAGAGATATGCATGTGTGTGTGTTGCAGTGTGTGTGTGTGTGTGTGTGTGTGTGTGTGTGTGTGTGTGTGTGTGAATGCCACAGAGCTTGGCTGTCAGTGAGTCTCTCAGAGGATCATTTGCAACCGCAACGCAGAAGCATCCACCCTAGATGGAGCCCCTGTGGGACACTGACACACACACACACACACACACACACACACACACACACACACACACACACACACACACACACCACACCACACACACCACACACACACACACACACACACACACACACACACACACACACACACACACCACACACACAACACACACACACACACACACACACACACACACCACACACACACTTTTATTTGGAGGTAAAAAGCATTGAATTAATCAAAAAGGAAATGTTATACTTTCTGTTTTGTAGTGAGATAATGTGCAGCTCAAATGACATTAAAGCTGCACCCACCATTTTAGTTTAATGTAAATTAATTTGTCAATTTGTCCATAAAATATCAAAACAAATACAGAACAGAAGGAGGACACGATCATGTCAAACGCAACAAGGACAACAAAGAAAAACAAACTAACAAGACAATAGATGAAAACTAGGCAAAAACAAAAACGGTTGTGTTTGTCAGCATAATAATGGAAAAAATACATCTCCGATTTTCATGACACTTCGTGGAAGGATGAAGCATGAGCCAAGGAAGTAACCTTTAAAATGTGGAGTTGAACCGATTGACGGGCCATGATGTTTTTGTGCCCTTTCTAGGAAAACGCTTTTCCCTGGACAGCAGTGACTGGTTTTCCTAAGTGCAGCGAGTCAGTCGAAGTCTTTATTTATTTTTTATTGCTGTGCTGTCAGGCCACATCGGGTCTTGTCTGGAATCAGCACTTTTATATTAACAATTCATCCACTGTCAAAAAACACATTTCCATCTCACCACATCCTGAGCTACCTGTCTTGACAACCAATGAAACAGGCAGAGATGACTAACCTATAGGAAATGCATGGATACGGGTTTTGTCAGAGACTAGTCTGTACCATCTATACTTGACATTTGTATACATGCTTGCTCGTGTTGGATTTAAAACCCTGGTGTGTAAGGCTTTAAATCCCCTTTATCTCCAGGTTTCTTCAGTCCCTGTTTTGTTCTTGGCCACTTCTAGAAAAATATCCCTGACCTTTGCATTTGGTTATTAACCTCAAAGATATTCAAAACTGTGGCGTTATATTTGCTTGGTAGCCTGGGAAAGATGTGTAAAAGTATTACGCATATTTCTTTGTATTACGAGACGATATCCTGTTATGTTAAATAAATATCACAAAATGAAGAAGTTCAAGGAGGAAGACAATTACCATTTTCATTGTATCATCTCTCCAGGTCTCCATTGCATATACATTTTCTCCTGCGAAGGGCATTCAAACAACCTTTTTTCTTATCTCTGCAGCCGCATTTCTACTGCCATTAAGATCACATCTCCACCTCTCCAGGGTGGGATATTTAAAATGACTGTTTTTATAAGTTCTTCCCCTCTAAACTGATTTCATTTATGGGGTTAATCTTTTACATATTAAACCCAACATCCATTTCCTCCCCCTGATTGACCTAACTTGATGAACATGGTCACAGTGGACGCTGATGCAAAATGCATGAACAGCTCCTCCCGATGCATAATTATATGATCGCAGAATCACAGTGCTACCTCATTAGAGACTGTAAACCCCGGGGTAGCACACGGAAAATAATTGAAGAGTTCAGCACTACCGACAACGCTCAGAGCATTTTGGAATCCATTTTAACAAATAAGCACCAGCTGCAAGCGGGATGATATCTCCGAGAAAGTAGCACAGAGATGATTTCTGTTTTAATAAAACATGTTGGCTTGTTAATAATGCCACAAACACTGCCAACAAGGAATTAAGAGTCTGCAGACGTGCAAGCAGCTGTGAGGCCCAACAACAGGGCTGAGAGCTAAGCGCTATCACATGCATGCTAACATGTTGGTTTTTAGGGTGATAGTTTAGTGTCAGCTTCAGCACCATTTTCAGGTTAAATACGTTAGATTTCATAGAATAGATACAGAAAAACTGTATGTCATAAACTAACATTCACTAGTTTTCATTTATTCATCTATTTTTGGCCTTGCACCTTTAGGAGAAATGTGCTTAATGTCTCTATATGTATCCCACTTACTGAGGAGGTCGTGTCCAAGTGAAATAAAGGGTACAAATGTGTCCATAACTCAGGAGAAATACAGGAGAACACTGATCCAAGGAGGTAACAGGGATTGGACAATAAGAATGAGAAACTCCCGGGTAAAATCAGGACAATTTGGCAAGAGTGCAACCGCTTTAGCTCATATAGCACACTTTGTTTAAAGTCATAATTCAAAATGACCCATTTGGAAACATTTTTTTAAATATGTAATGCGCTCTCTGCAAAGTGACTGACACCTCATCAGTCACACTCCTTGACTCTGGTGAGCCTGTCTTGCTGCAGAAAGTCACCGTGACTTACGATGAGTTGTGACATGAGGGGTCAGAAACATCAGAATATTACTATAGGTGCTTCACCTGATGCTCATTTGTCCAAGTCTGTTGCAAAAATGCTCAGAGCGCTGTCAGAGCTGCCTGAACTGTGCAATTATGCCATTTCCCCGGCTGTTTGCCCCAGGCCTGCAGCCACTAATGAGGTATGGGTGTCTGCTGTTGAACAGAGTGAATAACATTATGTACATGTACAGAGGGCCTCAGGGCGCAGCTGCACCACCAGCACCTGTACCGATGACTACCCGCGTGATTCTCATGATCCCCTGATTGCTCGGTTTTTACTTTGTTCAGTAACACACACGTCACACCTGAAAAGTGCTCCTTAATGCAGCAAAAGGCTTCATTAAAATTCAGGTGAGTAGTAATTACGAGGAAGATAATTACTACTCGGTTTGCATACGAGAACACTCAAGCATGTGGCACCCTGATCATTTAAGCCATTTTACATATCTTTACATATCGTGAATGCAGGCGTGCTCCAATGGCATTCTGGTTTAAATGATATTCACAACTCAGTTTCTTCCCATCAGACTGAGAAGATGGAAGTAGCAGCTATGAATAGAAACACATATTTCTGACCATTCTGGTACGACATAAAAAAACGTTGCTGCTTTCGTTCAGCCCTCTCCTCCCTCCATTTTGAAAAACCTCAGAATTAATCGGGTTTTTTTTGTGTGCATGTGATTTCTTCCACTGAACCAATTCCTGCAACAGGACCTGGATGCGTCTGGCATCGAGTAAGGTCTAACATTTCAGGAAATGACTCGCATGATGTCGTCATGCGTAAGGATTTTCACTTCTTGCACCACAGCCCAGACCTCAGTGTGCTGAAATCCTTCGACTGGCAGCATCGGGAGGAAATGCAGTATAATAAACCAGAGGAAGAATCCTGAAAAGCACATAAAGAGAGGCAACCTTCATCAATATGTGAATAAGAAATGCAATATGTAGTAAGTAATAGTAACATATCCCTGGTATTTGGACGGTCAGCAGGAGCCTTTGGTCACAAAAGCTTCCACAGCAAGATGAAGGTCAGACAAGTGAGGTATCATTTATTAGATATTACAGACTAGCCGTTATTATTTTCTCCTTTCCTATCTTTTGCCTCTGGCCTTGATGCAACATTTTCTCGACTTTGTCCTTCCACTGACATTTAACTCAGATAGTGAGATAGCCGCTGCCTCTGGATCTGCTGAACCCGCGGGAAATGTTTCTATAACTTATATCCTCATGTACATCTGTGCATGTGTGTGTCAGCGCTCGTCACCACTCAGGGACCAGAGGTAGGGTGACATTTGTGAAGGCATGTAAAACCTTGCCACTGTCTCAGCACTGTCTGTTCGGATTACAGTGTGTGTGCAGTGTCGACAGCGAAAGCTCTCTGAAAGTGTGTAAAAATATCCAACTTCTGTCACGTCTGACGCAGGGAAAAATGGAAAT